TATCAAAAATAAGTAGGCTACTTATATAACTACCCATACCCAAAGCATTCCAATAATTTTTTGCGTTTACGCAGGTAAGAAATAGATGATTTAACGATTCATCCTCTTTATGACAGTATGTGCATTTAGCAGTAGCAGTAATGTTAAGATGTCTTAGGTATTGAAAAGTTGGTAGTCTATTATGGTTAAGTAACCAAATAAAATATTTGATTTTAGGATGTACAGGCAGGTCCCATATCCATTTGAAATGGAGAGATGTATTGTGTTCATTAGCAACTTGATTTTGCAAAGCTTTATAAATAGAATTTACCGAGAATTTTCCATCCTTTGTTAAGGCCCAGAATATACAATCAGCCTTGTAGTTGTACGTGGAAATATAAGTGGTTGCTAACCATTTTTTTAATTCTTCAGAAAATTGAAAAGGAAGGTTGTTCCAGTTCCAAGTATTGTGATTGTAGATTGAGTTAATATTAATATTTTGTTGTGACATACGTAATTGACCACTTATCAATGATAGAACAGTCAGACCAGGCTTTATCCACGTGTTTTCCCAAAATTTAATATGCTCACCTGTTCCAATTTGCCACTGCAGTCCTAGTTGGCAAAATTGCCATCCTTTTAGTATGTTACGCCAAATAGCGGAGTGATTAGTAGCAGAACTTGAACGAACATATTTATTAATTAAAACTTTTGACCAAAGATTTTGATGTAAGTGGAAGGCTCTCCATGCTAGACTTCCAAGTAAAGCTTTATTCTTTTGATGAAGACTCTGAATCCCTAAGCCTCCCACTTTAGTTGGTTGTGTAATTTTTTTCTATTTAATAAGATGCATTTTTTTCCTTGTTGTGGTAGATCCCCATAGAAAATTACGCTGGTACTGTTCCATCCTGTTTATAATCGAGGTAGGTATGTGAATATATTGCGTAATATGATTTGGCAAATTATTAAGGGTTGATTTAATAAGAGTAGCTCGTCCCGCCATTGTAAGAAAGTTTATTTTTCATCCTGCTAGTTTAACTTTGAAATTATCCAACAGGAATTGAAAGTCCGCCTTTTTTTTGGCATGTATGGAACATAGGGAAACCCAAATACTTGCCAAAATTTGTTCCTTCCTTCATTTAGAAACAGTCCATTGCCAATTCCTTATCATTTGCCGAGCTGTTTTTAGAAAAGAATAATTTTGATTTCTCAAAATTTATTCTTTGGCCCGAGTGTTTGCTAAAATGATGATCACATCTATGATAGCATTGCAACTTTTATTAGTAATTCTCGAAAAAAAATAATATCATCAGCGAAGAATAGATGTGAAAGCTGTGGACCTGTTTTAGCAATATTGATTGGTTGCCATTGTAGATATTCCACAGCTAAGGTAATGCTACGTGAAAGCATTTCCATACACATTATAAACAAGTATGGCGATAATGGATCACCCTGTCTAATGCCTCTGGATGGTGAAAAGTATTCTGTACGTGATCCATTGATAAGAATTGAAGTAGAAGTTGTAGTAATGCAGGACATGATCAACTGAATTGTAGAAGGAGGGATATTAAAATATTGAAGAGTTTTCCTAATGAATGACCATTCCAGCCGATCAAATGCTTTTTCAAGATCTAATTTTAGCAACATATAACTATTTTTGCTAAATGATTTACAGCTTCCTGGACTATTATGGCGTTGTCTGCAGCCCGTTTTCCTTGTTGAAAACTAGTTTGTGTTGGTCCTATTATTACAAAAATAATTGGCTTAAGTCGATTGACAACGATCTTAGTAATTAGTTTGTAAGTTGTGTTACATAGACTTATGGGTCGAAATTGTTGTATGTTTTGAGCATGCCTTACTTTTGGAACAAGGCATATATATGTTTGATTTAGTAATGGAGGTATAACTCCAGAACTAAAAATGTCATGGCAAAATTGCTTAACCTTATTACTAACATCGGGCTAGAATTTTTGATAAAAGAATGGATGAAGTCCATCCGGACCCGGTGCTTTATAAGGACCAAAGCTAAATATAGCACGATCAATTTCACTGTCTTTAAGAGGTGCTTCCAGAATATGGTTGTTAATATTATTTAATAAATTGAAGTTCGAACTGAAGGTAACATTTGTTGACTGACTTTTCTTAGTAGTAAAAAGATTCTTGTAGTAAGAGAGTATGTTCTCTTGAATAGCCTGCTGGTCATAAAACCAATTACCTACAGAATCTTTTAGTATAGTTATTCTATTTCTCCTACGTCTTAGTAAGGTAGACATATGAAAAAGTTTCGTATTAGCATCCCCTTCATTAAGCCAATTCACTCGTGATTTAAGTTTTCAAAAGTCCTCCTCCATTCTAAGTATACTACTAAATTCATTATTCAATTGAGATTCTAAGTTTTGAAGGAAACAACTAGTTGGTTAGTGAATAGAAGACTGAATTCCTGCCAGTCTAGCCAGTATTTTCTGCTTACGATAAAAAATGTTCCCAAAAGTATTATGGTTCCAAGATGAGACTATTTTCTGAAAATTATTAATGGTTTCCAAAAGAGGATGTGTATTAGTCCAAGAGTTGTGAACCAATTGATGAAACTGCGGATGCGATACCCAAATAGTTTCAAACCTAAATATATTCCTAGGGAAATATTTCTTATTGTCTAAATTTATTAGTAGAGGACAGTGATCGGAGTACGTTCGAGGTAAATGTTGCACTGTAGCCTCAGGGTACATATTAAGCCAGTCATAATTTTCCAAAAATCGATCTAGTCTTTCTAGAATTGTATGACCATTTTTTCGTTTATTAGTCCATATAAAACGACTACCTTTAAATCCTAAATCTATTAAATTGCAATAGTTAATGCAATTTGAGAATCTATCTGCCCTATTGACATTAACAGGAAGTCTTCCAAACTTTTCATTCGAATATAAAATATCATTGAAGTCTCCTCCTATTAGCCAAGGATAATTGAAATTATCATGCAAATCCATTAAACTTTCCCAGAGTATATTACGTGACTGGTATGAACTACTAGCATATATAGCAGATAACATCCATTTAGGTTTAATGGGACATACTTGGACAAGGCAGTGGATTTCTTGGTCAGACATCCTCAGTTCCTCAACACCAATCGAAGCCTCATTCCATAGTACCACTAAACCTCCTACTAGTCCATTAGCAGAAACTTGGGCCATGTTAGTGAACTCAAAAGCTTGTCAGAGTCCTTCATGGTCCTGCACGTGTGTTTCTAGGAGGATTTATAGAACTGGTCTGTAATTATCTAGTAAGGATCTGAACTGACGCCTAAACTCTGGATTGTGAGAACCCCTACAGTTCCAGACTATGAGATTCATGATATTAATCATGTTTTGTGTGACTGGTGGAGTAGGCATCAACGGATTGAAAATCGTTGATGTCAACTGATCCTGAGATTCCAATGGCGGAGGAAGTTGACGAAGAGTCGGAATTATCACCATCGAGTATTTCCCTGCCTCTCGATTTTTTGTTACACGAAAGTTCAGGCTGCATGAGATCATCTCTGGGGGACACTTGAGGATGAATTTTTTTGCGTACTGTTCCTTTAGATTGTAGAGATGAATCTCTTTTAACCATAAGAACTATGTCCTTGTCTCCCTTATTTCCGCCAAAATTTCTGCTAACTCCTCCCTTGTTTGCACATCTAGTTCGTTGGGAGATGGATGTGGAGGTGGTGGTGGGCTTCCCGGTGGAGACTGTGTCTTGAATGGACTGATTGGACTGGAGTATGGGGAGAGAGGATTGAAGGAGTTGAGATGTTGGAACCATGGTGCATAAATCTACCCCATGTTATGTGGTGGATAAAATGGCAGCAGGTTGGTCATTGTTGGAACTGGGATCTGTGACTGCATGGGATAACTCCACTGGTGGGGATTCGAAGTTGAAGCCTGATGCTCTAATAGTAGAGGAGTTTCGGTGTTGTACCATTGATTCTGAGCGTAACCCTCCATCCCCAATCTCATTCCCTCTGTGACTATTTCTGCCAGGTGAGTGGGGTTTTTTACAAGAAGAACAACCTCCTGGTTGTTGAGTTCCATCGTAAACACAAGAGCATACCCCTGTAATCCCATCTCCAACCAAGACTGAAGAGGAAGATCCATTGTGTTTGCTTGAGATGTGTATATTAGGGGTGTGTTTATGTGTGGAAGTTCAGGGCCCTGCATAGTTAGGCGAGGAAGATGAAAGAAGTGATTGTTGTCCATGTTCCTCAGGTAAGCAGGGTTGTAATTTGCTGGGAATGTTGGTCTTTGCATTATGAGTTATTGAAGAAGAGAAACTATTTTTGTAATATCAAGAGCAGAAGGCTTTTGATCAACAGTAGAGTGATTTGAAGAGGACTTGTTTGGATCAAAAGATTCCGGCTTGTTTTAATTAATAGATCCTTATGGGTATCACATGAAAAGTCATTATTTGGTTTATGTTGGAATTGGGGTTGGCTAGGAGTGTAGGCTACTGTAGCATGCAACTCACTGTTGTTGCTATGTACGTGGATCCTAGATGGCTCTTCAAGGCCATGTGAAGCAGAGGAGTTGTCTTTTAATGGTTGGTTAGAGGTAATATAATATGGGGGGTCTGAATTAGTATGATGTGGAGGGTGTAGCTATTGTGGCGTGTTAAGCATAACATGCACAGTATGATCATTAATGCCTAGGAATGATATAAGGGATGAAGTATTGTCAGTAGATGCAGAAGAAAAGTTATTGGGGAATAGTGTCCGATATGTTTTGGACTTTATTGAGGAAGAGTTATTTATTTTGGGCTGTTCAGGTATAGAAAAGGCCTTATTAGAAGTGTATTCAGTGATTGGGCTTTTTGACTTTGTATTGTCCAAGTCCATATTGTCTAAGGCATCCAGGCTATTGAATTTGTTATTGAGCAGGTTATTGGCAGCCTCGTCTTTGGATTGTTTTTGGGCCTCAGAAGGCCCATTATCGATAGTAGACGTACCTGCTATCATCTGTTGCCCTTGCTTCGCCGCCCCCTGCGCCGCCCTAATGTTGATTGTGTGCGACTGTTGTTTTGGCGTTGCAAAGATTTCCTGGGAAACTTACTGTTTTCCACTCTGTTTGCTGTGTTGAATCATTCTGGGTAGATGCAGAGGAGTTCGAAATAGGTTGATTTGGTGGTTGTTTTGGTGTAAAAAGACAGCCTATATTGGTATGACCAAAGCGCCCACAGCTTGTGCATAACATATTTAGACCTTCGTATAGTAACATCTGCTTGTACTTGCCCCTAGTTGTAGAGGAGGTGAAAGCATCAACCTTTAGCAGCTGTCCCAACTTAGATCCCACCTTATATAGTATTTGCTCATCATAAAATTCAGTTGGAAGTTCTAGTAGTCGAACCCATATTGCTGAGTATGTGAGTTGTGTGGATGAGGCTATGAACTTTGACTCCCATTGTCTAACCGATAGGAAGTGATTCAGAAGAAACCATGGCCCTCCATATAATGCCTTAAGCATGTTCTCTTCCTTTTGAAATTTTATGAGGAAGGAATCAGAGCCTAGATCAATGAGAGGTAGATCTTCAGATGGGTTCCATAGGGCAAGGAGTTTGGTTTGTAGTATGTTGTGTGCTATCTTTCTACCAAATAATTTAACTATTATTGAATATTTCCATGGAGTATATAAGCGGCATTTGTCTTCTGTAGTAATGGGTATAAATATGTCATCATCTTGATTGCAGTGAAGACTTTCATCAGACAAGTCTAGTTCAAGTTCCATGCTCTGTTGTATATATGGAATTGTTGGTGGATGTTTATTTGAGATTAGAGTTTGAAGAAAGGATGGTGATGGAGTAATTGGTTTTGTACCTTCAATTTGCATAGAACCTATGTCAGGAGGTTCCTGAGGTGATTTGTCGTCGGAGGCTGTTTGTATAGAGTTATTCATGGATGGTATATGTTTGTAGCAATTTACAGAGTGTGATTTTAGAGTTGGAAGAAAGTTGTATTAGAGGAAGTCGTGTCAGTTTTTTAGAGAGAGAAACTCTCACATCTTTCTAAAAAAAAGTTTGTGGCTGACAACAAAACACAATTGTTATCTCACTACATTTACATGTTTCCAATTGTTACCTTCAAAACCAAGTTTTAGGACAACATTAAAGCTAAAATAAAAGCACCATATTTTAAAAAAAAATTGGCATAAGTTCTGTACTATGATAGTATACAAATGTACACTATCAGATCATGCATATTAATTACACTGATCGTGAATAAAGTAATTTTGAAATGTAAGTAAGTCTAGTTGATGATTATGACGTCACTAACTTCGCTAAAAAAATCTGATATTTCAAAATGTAATTGTAATTTTGAGAGTAATAGCCCCGATCCCCTATTAACTGCTTCCCCCGTATCTTTTTCTGCTTATGTGACTTGCTAGGAGTTTTATTTTTGGTTTCGGAGTGTTTTGGGACACTTAGTCCCTAAACGGAAGCTTAAGTCTTAGGATTTTGACCGTAGTTGGAACTGTGTGAAGATGACTCCGGAATGGAGTTTCGTCGGTTCTGTTAGCTCCATTGGGTGAATTTGGACTTAGGGGCGTGTCCGGATTGGGTTTTGGAGGTCTGTAGCTGATTTAGGCTTGAAATGGCGAAAGTCGAATTTTTGGAGATTTTGACTGGTAATGGACTTTCTGATATCGGGGTCGGATTGGATTTCCGGACGTTGGAGTATCTCCGTAATCCTGAATATGACTTGTGTGCAAAATTTGAGGTCAATCGGGTGTGGTTTGATAGGTTTCGGTATCGTTTGTAGAAATTTGAAGTTTCAAGTTCATTAAGTTTGGATTGGAGGGTGACTCGTATTTTTAGCGTTGTTTGATGTGATTTGAGAGCTCGACTAAGTCTGTAAAGTATTTTAGGACTTGTTGGTATGTTTGGTTGAGGTCCCGAGGGCCTCGGGTGTGTTTCGGATGCTCAACGGATCACTTTTGGACTTGGGAGAATTGCAGAAAATCTGGTATTTCTGTTGCATACTTTTCTTCATCGCGTTTGCGAGGTCTCGTGTTCGCGTAAGGCATCTAGGAGGCCAGCTGAAGTTGTTCTTCGTGTTCGCGAAGATAGGGATGTGTTTGCTAAGGTTTGGTTGTCAGTGCATCGCGAACGCGTGAAGCACATCGCGTTCGCGTAGAGAAAGTGGAGCAGCTGGGGACCCCAAATAATTGTTCTACGCGTTTGCGTAGGGTGGACCGCGTTCGCGAAGTAATAGGTAGTGGAACCTATGCATTCGTGAGTGGTAAGTCGCGTTCGCGGAGTGGAAAGTTTGGGTTGAAAAATTGAAAAAATGGGAAGAAGTTCTTCAACTAAGATTTTGGATTTTGTTTGAGATTTTGATATCGGATTTAGATAATTTTTGTGCGAGTGAACTCGTGAGTGAATGGGTGTTCATATTTTGTGACTTTTACCTAATTCCGAGACATGGGCTCGGGGAGGCTTTTTAGGGCGATGTTTGAATTTCTTATTAAAGTCTTGAATTCATTAATTAGATTAGTCTATTATAGTTAGATTTATGATACGTAATTGCTTTTGGCGAGATTTGGGCGATTCGGAGTCGGATATTCATGGAAAAGGCATTATTACCGATTGATTGAGCTTGGTTCGAGGTAAGTGGCTTGCCTAACCTTGTGTGGGGGGAACTCCCCTTAGGATTTTGTATTGTTGTGTATGCGAGCGCCGTGTACGTGAGGTGACGAGTGCGTACACAGGCTAATTGTTGTAAAACTCCATTTTTCACTAAGTAATAATTTATTTCACTTTAATTGAGTCATACTAGCATGTGTAATTATCTTTTTTAGCCTAGAATAGCATGCCTATGTGTCTTAAATGCTTATCTGAACTCTGTGGAGCATGTTTAGTTGATTTCCTGCTTCTTCCTTGACTTGTACTTAGTCTAACTATAGGGTTTCGTGTTATAGCTGTTATCACCATTGTTTGAGCTACGTATTTATTTTGGGATTACGGAACGGTATTCCGGGAGATCCCCCTGCATATTTACTTTGAGACTACGGGACGGTATCCCGGGAGATCCCCCTGCACATTTACTTTTGGGACTACGAAACGGTATTTCGGGAGATCCCCTTGCACATTTACCTTTGGGAATATGGAACGGTATTCCGGGAGATCCCCCTGCACATTTACTTTTGGGACTACGAAACGGTATTCCGGGAGATCCCCCTGCATATTTACTTTTGGGACTATCGAACGGTATTCTGGGAGATCCCACTGCATATTTACTTTTGGGACTACGAGACGGTATCTCGGGAGATCCCTTGCTGTTATTTTTGTTCATTGTACTATTATGTTTCTGTGATTTCCTTCTTGTTAAAGTTCAATCTTTATTATACTGCGATATTTCATTCTGTCTTATTTTATATATATATATATATATATATGTATACACACCAGTATGGCCCTGACCCGACCTCGTCACTACTCGATCGAGGTTAGGCTTGGCACTTACTGGATATCATTGTAGTGTACTCATGCTACTCTTCTGCACATGTTTTCGTGTGCAGATCCAGGTACTTCTTACCAGCCACATCATCAATGAGCAACGATAGTTAGAGACTTCAAGGTATATCTGCAACGTCCGCAGACCTCGGAGTCCCCCTCTATTCTCCCCTATGTTCATTATTTTCATGTACTTCTTTTGTTTGACTCTGATGTATAGAGAAACTAGTTTTCCTTCTGTAGTTTGTAACTGATGATGTTCCGGGTTTTGGGAAGACTGTGTAGTATTAAGGACTTGGTTATTGTACAAGACGAGCGGCATGGTATTCAGTCATGTTATTATTGTTGCAGCTAGTTGCGAGTTTTACTTTTGTTCCTGCTATTTCCGTAATTGTTTAGGCTTACGTAGTCGTAGAAACTAGGTGCCATCACGGCATCTAACGGATGGGAAATTGGGTCGTTACAAGTTGGTATCATAGCTCTAGGTTCGTAGGTGTTGTGAGTCACAAAACAGTTTATTTAGAGTCTCGCGGATCGATACAGAGACGTTTGTACTTATCTTCGGGAGGCTATGAAACTGCTAGGAAAGTTACACTTCTTTGATTTCCTTGTCCTGCGAAAATTTGTTGACTTCGAAATTCTAAAATTCTATCTTCTATTCTCTCACAGATGGTGGGGACACGTACAACCGGAGATGACCAGGCACCTGCGCCCCCTACTAGAGCCGCTAGAGGCTGGGGCCGGGGGCGGGGTAGAGGCTGAGGACGTCCATGTGGTGCAGAAAGAGCACCCGCACGAGCTGCCATAGAGTAGCCACCAGTAGCTCCTGTCGGAGTGCAGGCACTTGAGATGCCTACTACTACTGTACCAGCTCCCCAGGAGATCGTTGCACAGTTTATGAGCATGTTCAGTACTCTATCTCAGGCAGGGTTGATCCCTCTTTCTCCTGCCACATCTCAGTCCGGGGGAGGAGCACAGACTCCTGCCGCCTGCACCCTAGAGCAGTGAGTTCAGGTCGATTAGATTCCAGAGGTTATACCGGTGCCACCTGTAGCCCCAGTTTAGTCTGAGGGTAGGGTAGCCGTTTCTAAGGAGGAGCAGCGTAGGCTCGAGAGGTACAAGAAGTACCACCCTCCTACCTTCAGTGGCTCCGTAATATGGTCATAGCAGAGTCGAGTGGGGTTTCTTTCATTGCGTTGTAGCTTAATGCAGCAGCCTTTCAGTGGTGGCGTGCTTATGAATTGGACATTCCGGTTGAGGCAGCTTCACTTACATGGACTTAGTTCTCGGATATGTTTTTGAGGGAATATGTTCCCAGAGCCTCAGAGATGCATGGCGCGCTGAGTTTGAGCAGTTGCGCCAGGGTGCTATGACTGTGTCAGAGTATGCAGTACGTTTCAGTGATTTGGCTAGACATGCAGCGACCTTAGTTTCCACAGTTTGAGAGAGGGTCCGTCGGTTTATTGGGACTCCATCCTTTTGTCCTAGGACTGGCATGGCCCGGGAGTTAGAGATGGATATTTCGTACTGGCAGGCTGTAAGTATTGCTAGGAGGGTGGAGGGCGTGCTTGCTCGGGAGAGAGTGGAGAGAGATGCCAAGAGGTCTCGAAAGACTGGTTCTTATTCTGGTGCTCGTTCCCTAGCTGCAGTTCGACATGGTAGGGGGTATGTGAGTCGCCCTGTTCATTCAGCTCTTCCAGCCGCTAGTGGTATTCCGGCTACTTCTAGGCCTCAGGAGCCTTATTATGCACCGCCAGTATCTAGTGTGCCTCCTGCACGCGGTGTTTCCAGCGGTCAGTCCAGCAGACCTGGATCAACCAAGCCACAACAGCCACGCCCTCCCAGAGCTAGCTTTGAGTGTGGCGACACTCGCCATATGGTGAGAGATTTCCCCACACTTAGGAGGGGTGCACCTCCACAGACTTCTCCGCCACAATATGCTCCAAAAGGTCCTCAGGCTATGATTACAGCACCAGTTACCACTCCACCCGCTCAGCCAGCTCGAGGTGGAGGTCGAGGAGGTAGAGGTCGCCCTAGAGGGGGAGGACAGGTCAGATACTATGCCCTTCTTGCTCGTACAAAGGCAATTGCTTCTAACTCTATCATTATAGGTATTGTTCCGGTGTGTCATAGAGATGTGTCGGTTCTATTCGATCCAGGCTCCACTTATTCCTATGTGTCATCTTATTTTTGCCCCGCATTTGGGCGTATCTCATGATTCTTTGAGTTCTCCTATTTTTGTGTCTACACCCGTGGGAGATTCTATTGTTATTGACCGTGTGTATCGGTTGTGTTTGGTTATTATTAGTGGTTTTGAGACCAGAGCCAATTTGTTATTGCTCAGTATGGTAGATTTTAATTTATCTTGGGCATGGAATGGTTGTCGCCCCATTATGCTATTCTTGATTGTCACGCCAAGACTGTGACGCTGGCTATGCCAAAC